CATTTCTAGACGCCTTTCACTTTCTATGCGATATATGCACAGGATTATAGACAAAGCAATAGATTACAGTTGGAATGCATTGTCTGTGTAATCATTTTGTTTTTCAAGTCAGAATTCAATTAGTTCTCTTTTCTTCTTATTATTGTCAACATTTCTTCTTCGATTCACTAAGACATTCTACGATCCTGTTGTCGCTAACGCTGTGTCGTGAATCGTAAGCAGTGATTTTAAAAAATTTTCATCACGGATAATGATAGTATTATAATAAATGGCACCAGATGCAGATTCCATAGTCCCAGTAAACGAGAAAATTTTAATTTGATTGGCGTCATTTGAAATTAACCGGCGGCAATCCAACAGCTTATGCCATAGGATTGAATGAGCCTGGTGTAGTAAAGACCAAATAAAGGACTGAAATACTCAACAATTGTGTGATCATTCTTCGATACTTCTTCCATTCGATTGATGGTGTGGGTGTGAGTGAAGAAAATAACCATTTGTCCAAAATTGCACTGGCAAACTCACACCGATACACCCATGCCCTCAAATAAATAAATGTGTATCTTAATCTCGTGCTGATTAACGTTTTTGTTAAATACGGTTAGAAACTAAGTGTCTCCGAGGAGCAAATGTCCGGACAGTATCTTTCATGGACTCCGCAGATAAAGTGATTGTCGTATTGAAAAGCATATCGTTCGTATTGGCTACCATGATTCAACGTGCAAAACATAAATAATTTATTTCAGTTATTATTACTTGATGAAAAAATCAACGTCGATTAATTTTTCTCTTCTTGCAATGAGTCGTGTTCGTTGTATTAGAATAGTGAAAAATTCAATAGCGGATTTTCCTTTTCTATCCTAATAGCAAGCAAAATGTATCAGGCAAGTGTCACCCTGGATAAGATCATTGAATGCATTAAATTTTTTGGATGATACAGTTATATTACACTGGATGTTTCTTGTTCAATAAATAATTGAGATGGCATTCGTGTCTTTCACATCTTTCTTCGCGATAAACTCCGAAACTCGGAAATATATTCCAAACCAGGTCAAAAAATCTGACAACAAATCGTACAAAGTCTTGCAAAATCTTGCACATACAAGATTTTCTATCTGATCTTATGATAAGATCAGACCGTATCTTATTACATCATTTTTCGAAAGATTTCATCAGATTCTGAATGAAAGATACCCTCATAAATCTTACAAGATTCTAAACTTAAGAAACATACAGTAGTACGTAATGCAACTGCTTTTACGACAGACTTTCAACAAGGCATTGCTTTATCTCTTAAATGTAGGTATATAAGCCAGTTTTTCCTCTTCAAATATATTCAAGTAAGAAAAAATATGGATGTTGCATGGTTGCGTCCCATATAATTATATTTTGTAGGCTTGCCTATATACTTCGTGTCCCACAAATGACTTGACTAACGTCTCAACATATATAACAACCCAAAGAAATACCATCTCACACTGATGAAATCGAGCATAGTGAGAAACGTCAGTTATAAGCATTTACTTTTCGTTTCGGTTTTATCAAACTCAGATTGATTGGATGAGAATTTCACAAAAAAAAATAAACTATTATAACGCATACCCACATTCTTGTGCAATAGGACCCCAATACTTATTCTGCTGCAGACCATTCCAATTCATTACTTTACCCCTCAGAATACATTTCAAAACTCATCTGCTTTTTTCGAAATGATATTAGTGTAAAGTGCTGGATTTAATTCTAACACTTTGGTTTTTGCTATAACTCAGCCATATTTATGGCAAGAGACTGAAATCTTCACCATTAGATGTATCATCTTAAAAACTATTTACCTGAAAAAAGCTTCAAAATCATGTGCATTCTGAATGAATTACGAGGAAAACAATATTTTCCTAGAGAACATAATTATAACACGCTTTTTAGTGTTTCGCATTTTTTGACCAAGTGATTTTGATTCAAAAATCGAAATAAATATCAATCGACGTAGAATTGTACGTTTTACATTTTGAAAAACATTTTCATCTACCAACAAACGATTTGTTATAAAATCTGCATTAAAACTTCTTTTTTCTGGATCGCAGCTAAGAATGTGATTGCAAAATGATTTATGCAATCACTTTCAATATCAACTAGTACAAGACAATGAGCGTGAAAAACTAAACCAAACCGCATATTTTTATGTGCAAACAGTTCTGTTGCAGCAAGGAATTTTAAGAGTTTCTTTTTCTGATGAGTCATCGGTTTTAGATTTCAACATTGTTTTCGCTGAAAACAGCCAGAAATTTTTCAAAAATGCACCAGACTCGCAGAGAACTAAATGCTCTACAAGATGAGACCTTCCGTAATCCTTTACCACACCCACAAAATTCGGCGTGTTCGGAATACTTTCAGTGCAGTGTATTAATTTAAATTACAGTAAATCACATGAGAGAAAAAGCAACATCTATCGATCAAACGTATGTTCCTTTTAACTTTCGAACGATCGAGCTTAGAAAGCTGAAAGAAGTTTCACATTGTGGACAATTTAATTCCCTACCGTCCTGGTGTATGTTTGAAATTTATAAGGCGGTACTTAGTAAAAACGAAAATGTTAGAATTTAAAATCGATTACTTATCCCAAAGGAAAAGCTTTAGAATTCCTTGCTGCCAACAAACTGTTTGGACTTAAAAATAAACGATTTGGTTAAGTTTTTCAGTCTTTGTCATGTACTAAGAGGTATTGAGAGTGGTTACATAAATCATTTTGCAATCATATTCTTCGTTGACACAAAGAAAAACAAAAGTTTAATGAACAAAAACGTTTTTCAAAATGTAGAGCATAAAATTCTTCACCGACTGATGTTTCTTTCACTCTTTTGAACTGAAATTGTTCAGTAAGTAAATAGGAAATACTACAACGTGTCTTGATAGTGTGTGCGCTGGGAAAAAACCATTTAGCTGGTAAACAATCCAAAACACAGGTGATGTTGAAAATGATTTCAGGCTGCATAGTCCATAATACGACCTATTTAATGATGAAGAAATCAGGCCTAAAGCAATAGATACTGCTCAGTTATAGCAAAAATAAAAATGTCTTAGAATTGATTCCCGCACATAACATACTTCACAAAGTCGTTTTTTTTCTACTATATGTGTCGACATATAGATAATTTCGTTTTACATCTAAGCCTTATTCACGTTTGAAAATAGTCTTTCATTTACTATCTCTCGTAACAGATAATAGAAATTTTGTTCCAAATATATAGCTCACATCATTTTTAAAAAACGTCTTTATTATCATGTAGGAGATCTATGGGGATTCAAGAGTATAGTTCTCTAGTTTTTTCTCTCTTCTTCAAAGTGTTCTTTACGTTATTGATAGTTTTCCGAGCTTTTTCTTTTCTATTGAGTTAGGTGTTTCTCTTTTTTTCGTTTTAATCGGTAACGCTATGGTCCAGTTTTTTTGACTGCATAGTTCACTCAAAAATAAAATTCTTCCTAGTGAAGTGAGGTTAACTTGATTCTTCATTGGCATATAGAACCACGTAACCATCAATGGCACTGATTTTCGCAATAAAACAACGGAGCGCTTAATCTCCAATATTATCCGGTCGTATAAGATCTTATTGATGAATCGTCTAGGAGGATCATCCTGCCGTCTGAAAGGCCACCGGAAACGGCCTGAAGCGGCTATAAAACGACATAAAACAGCATTAATTTTCACCCTATTTCGCTGTAATCCGTCAGCTCGTTTTACGGGCCGTTTTCTTTCACCTTGACATACAAGAATCTTACCGTAATTCTTGATGGAAGATTTCAGAGACGGCGATTTTTCGTCGGATCTTACATGATTATATACGATAATGATGCACGATCCGATACGATCGGATAAGAATCTGTGACCGATCTTACTGTCTGATTTCTCGGCCTGGGTATTCATCTTGAAGTCTGAATGGGAGTGTTAGTGCGCACGTCGATCTTTAGTGTGGGAGTAACTGTACAAAGTCTGTTTAAATGAACAATATAAGTGTGGGTGAGGGTGAGGTTTTGATTGGTACGGGTCCACATCCTTCCATACCCACACCCACACCCGACAGTAGGATCCGATGATTATACAATGTTATTTCGACACTAGGGATCCGAATGTCATTCCACAACCCGGAATCTGATAGGAATTCGCTGGATTATTGGAAATTTATATAAAATCCGATCGGAATCCTATAGGATCTTATAGCATCTTATTGGGTTCGATTGTCGGAATGATCCTCCTGGGCATACATTGATTGATTGATTATTAAAATACGATATTCAAGATGTTATGGTGCCAGAAGAAGTTCATGCATTAAATCGAATTTTTGAAAAATATTATGCAGAAACAATTAACAATGTACGACAATTACAAGAAGAAGCTGGTGCTGGTGCTGGTATTGCGATATGAGAACTTTATTCGTTTTCGTACTTTTATTCTCTTGCTTCTTTTTATTTTTATTTCATCATATTTCTTTCTTAACCTAACTGTTTGAAGAATAAAAAAAACATGTTATTGGCAATATTCAATTTTGAGGGAAGCGGCAGATCAGGGAATATATTTAACGTATTTTTACGAAAAACGTCTTCGTGTAAAAAAACGATGAATAAGACTAGAAATGTTAAAATCTAAACACAATTAATCAAAACCCAACCCATGTCGCTCAAACCGATCGAAAACCATCGGTTAACCGCGGTTATGCAAGCCATTTTAGTGACTTTACAGTGTAAAAACCGACGGTTAACTGTGGTTAAGCGCCCGGTTAATCGGATAAACAGTCGGTTCGCCATCAATTAGCCGGTTATTTATCCGGTTAACCGTCGGTTTTTACACTGTAAAGTCTCTAAAATGGCTTGCATAACCGCGGTTAACCGATGGTTTTCAATCGGTTTGTGCGACATGGGAAGCAAAAAATTACGCAATATGATTCTGAAATAGTAATTAAAGCTAAGTAAACCTATTGCTAATAATAAACTTTAATTTTTTTTTCATATCAAAGAGCTATGCTGTCTGTATTTTTATCGCCATCATTGTTTTCTTGGACGCATAACTTTTTCATAGAACGTGTAATACGTTCACTTTTTAATTCATTTGATACTGTTCCTATATCGATATTGTCGATATCCGGTTGTAGCCATTCTAAGATTTCTGTTTTTAATTTGGACGCTTCTGCTGTTGATTGATCTGCATTTAAGTTTGTTGTGGGTGCCGGTAATGTATCTTCGTCGTCATGATCAAAATCTTCAAGATGTTGTGCATGAATTTTATAATGATTTTTCATACGATATGCTGATGGAATATATTGCTGACATATTCGACATGTACGCTTTTTCAATTCCTTTTTAACTGATGCACAACAATAATCGAATGGTAACATTTCAGCCTAAACAAAAAAAACATTTTTTTTGTATTTGTTACCGTATCTTCAATGAGAAGTAATGATAAATTAATAATGGAGCAAAGAATTTTTCTGATCTCTAGGTGAACCAACAATATGTATTTACAAATCAGAGATGAAATTTGAATCGACTCAATCACTGATCTGGGACAAGAATGAACTTATTCTAATCGATAACTTGAATTTCAGCCAATCTAAATAATAAGAGAATGAAAAAAATTCTTTTTCTTATAACCTGTGTATGTTGAATAACGATGCCATGAAATTGAATTCGTTGAAATAATGATCCATAAAATTGTCCTTTTTGATAATCTCTATCTGCCATTCTAACGCCGTGCATTGTACGTTCAAACGGAACTGGCGCTGGTAAAAATCGATGAGGAAATACTCGATAATAATTTGAACGCCATGGTCCACAACATTCGACTGAGTTACAACGAATAATTTGTAATGTATATTGTGTTTGTACAACATGGGTAACACACCAATATTCATCGATGTCATACTTTAATTGTTCATCAAATTTTTCCCTTGGTGGTCGAGCATTTTCTTGGTAATATTGATCTGATGCATGAATACGAAATTCATGTCCTTCTTCGGCTTCTTCTTCTGCACAAATTCTATTTTTGATAACACAAGAAATAGTATTTTTATAAAATAAAAGCTGTTACGTAAGCAACATGACACAATAAATAAAGAACATCGATTCTCACTTTAAACATCTTAGTGTTGGTAAACTCCGAATCGGTATATCATTGTAGATAATATTTCTTTAGGAAGCTATTCACTAATTACTTCTTAATTAATAATCATGTGAAAGACCAAATATTTTTACGTAAGTCTATGCGAAAAAGTCTATGACGGTGTAACACACATCAAGCAAGCAAGTGACGCCTATTTTGTATATGAACTCTAGCTTTCTCAGTCTCATGCAGTACAGAAAATTTGCATAATATTAACTGTAACAGCGAATTAAGTATACTTCACAACAATATATTTTCTTGTTTACAAAGCAGTTTTGCTCAAAACTGTTTTATTGAAAATCGTTGTGCTCCTTGCTTCCGCTGTCGATCCATTCTGCACGAGGGACGACGATGGAAAGTTCTATACCTATATACTTCAAGCATACGAATGTAACGGCATGAACATGAGTTTTTCTTCACTATTGTTTCCGGTCTGTCGTACGGAGGCACCCATAAGTTATTATGAACTATCCTATGGAAGTTAAACATGGGACAAAGATAATATGCTCCTGTCACTGGGGCTTTCATAGATTCAGCAGTTCGTCTTGATTGAATGTCAGAAAGAAAAGCAATAACACTTACTTTCTTAAAATGTCATCCATTATAATTTTAATATCAACTTGTCGACGTTCATCTTCTGATGTTGCTGATGAATTAATATATTGAGCAACACATGGAAATCCATCAATAACTGATTGATTCCATCTCTCAGCTAAGATTTGCCCTGCTTTACGAAAATTTAATTTTTCTAAATCAACATTTATTGTCACGCCTGAATCATTTAAATGTGAACCATAATAATCATGTGGTAGAACAAGACCAGCTAAATCATGAGATAATGGTGCCATACGACTTTCAACTATATTATAAGCTGATTGGCCAGGTCTTGAACATAAATCGAAAGTTTTTTTTCTTCTTATTTTAGACTTTTGAAAGTAACTTACGCATATGTAAGAACAAAAAGTGCATCTAAATTGTACTTCTTAAATTTTCTAATATTAGCAACAAGTGTTTTTGGAAACCGTGGATTTTCATCAGGACCGCCATCAACATTAACAATAACAATCGGTTTAACTTCTCCTTTTTCATTACGTGCAACTTTTTCAAATTCTTTTAAACAAACCAAACGATCAAAATCTGCTGCATGAGTATCAGCAGTTGACATTTCATGTCTAGCTGAACGTATTGCAATGTATGTTGGACCTGAATAACCTAAATCTCCATCATTGGATAAAAGACATGCTGCATAAACACTTGGAATTAATTGATGTCGGGGTGCTACTATCCAATCATGATCAGGTAAACTTATGCGATAATCAACATGCATTAACATCGACGCTTGAACTCTAGCTGCAGGTAAACCTACAGGAACTTTACATTTGTCATCTTGAGATAAATATAACACACAATTATTGCCGAACACAGAAGCCAAATCTTTTACATAACGTATTGTTGCTGTAGCAAAATGACCATCTGCATGTTTTCCATGTTCATCATTTTGAGCACGACGGAGACGAACTGGAACAGTATTTACGTGACGACGACCATCGATTGATTTTGCACGATGAGGTAAGAGACTAAGCAACAAAAAAAAACAATTGAGATTCGCATAAGAAATTAACAAATCTTCAGCTCAAAATCGTTTCTAAAGTTTTCACATCTTAATGAAAAATATTTGTTCGGTAACTCCATGAGAGAGTAAAATAAAAGTGGGGCATGTAGGTGTAGATGTCGATGCATATGAATATCACATCCACACCCACCCATACTTAGATCAATGCTGGTGTTGAACTGAGCTCAATTAATCAGTTGTATATTTTTGAATATGTGACACTGCTCTACAAGATTTGCATAGCTGCATAATCTGATGATTTAGTAATAGAAGAGCTTATTTGAAATTGATAGTTTCAAGGATAAGTTCTATAGTGTTTTCGTTCCTATTCCATACAACCATTTGTTTTTTCTTGTTCTGCTAACCTATGAAAAAGATGGCCAAAAATCAGATCAAAGTAGTACATTATAATTATAATATTTTAATGTGATTAAAACGAGAATTTTCTTTCGGCATCGAAATATTTGCTTTTAATCAGATTTGGGAGTCACTTCTTACATCTGCATCGACTGACAGGTTTCAAAATTCGGATTCGTTTTTTAGAATCACCTCTGTGTTATCGAACAAAATTAACCTAAGAAGAATATATTTCAAAGACTTTTCTTAATGTTCATATCTTATAGACTTTTCCCCCATCATAGTATTACAAATGAGAAGAAGCAGACTTGGTGTGGGTGTTGATTAAAATAAGAACAGTCAAACCCACATCCTTGTTGTCTGGTCATGTAGTCCAAAACTCCCGTGGAACACATTAATGACTCTAATAATTATTCTGTTGGTTGATTTTATACAATTAAATCAACTTTGCTTCGATTAGGTAACTTTTGATAGGTTTTAGGAGCGAATCAGTGCTACTATCTTTTTTTCGCTTGTTTTCAATGACTGTATTTATGGCTGAAAAAGTATGACATGATTTTCTAGGAAACGTTTTGTTCATCTGACCAATATTCTTTATGTCATCTGGTCGAGTACGTGTTCAGAATGATGAAGATTATATGGATTGAAATAAATGGAAGTAAAACGCCAAATTTAAAAAAAAATCATTTGAACTGATTCAAAAGAAATTCGATGGTGAGAACATTGAATAAATATAAAATCGATTTTAATCGAAGGTAAAACTCAACGTAATATGCGGGGAAACCCGTCACAATTTCAATTGATTAAAATCAGTGTATAAATTTTGATTGTTTCATTATTTCTTTTCGCATGCGAAATAAATTCATTTGACTTTTAATATTTTATCATTCTGATTCTAATCCCGACAAAAAATGCGAGCAATTGGTAGAATTAAACTAGTATTATATTGAATTTGATCTATGAATTTTTGCAATCTTTCGCCTAGAATTTTCTAGTTATTCGACTGAAAGTTGCCAATATCAGACAACAAGAAACATCAACTTATGCAATGTATCCGGTTGCCAAATCCGAGTTCAACATCTACGCTCGACAGTATCAGATCTGGGATTTGCAACTGAACTGGAAACTAGGGGAAGTATAACTCAGTTTCTGTTGAAATGGTGAAACAGTGGGGTGAGCCACAGCGGAAATGGCAGGAAATGAGCGAGTCCTGTCGAATGTTTTCGACTTCGGCTGCATTGCATCTTTCTATAACTAAAACTCAGCTACAATCACTCTTCGAAAACATGAAACTTCTTAGAGTGAAACTATAAATCTATCTAAAACAATAATCAATCTATCGAACGCATAGCAATCTACAGAAATAATCAAATAAGAAGTCGATATTTATATTGGCTTCAAAGTGGATAAAAAAAAGAAAGAAATATTCAAATTTATTACAATTATCCAAATAACTATGTCGAGATCCAAGAACAAATTCAGATTAAGTTGGAGCGAGATAAAGAAAGCGGAGAATAATTTGTCTGTTAAACGGTAAATGCAACTTTGATCGATAATAATTACTTTTTACTTTCGGCTAAAGTTTAGAGAATTCTATTGAACTGTGATCGATCGAGTTCCTATTGTTCAATATCAACTCTTGGTCAAAATTTTGATTTTCACAGATTTTCTTTCGGGTTCATTTGAATCACCTGTAGAAGCGTAACTGATTAACCGAAATAAACATTCAAGTGTAATCATTCGAAAATAATTGAAACACTCGATCAAAAAAATAATAAAATATTGCTTTAAATTATTTACCGATAATAAAGCGTCGTTCTTTTCACATCCATACCTCTTTGTAGAAGTTTTTCTCTTAAATCATCTAAAGTTAAACAAGGTCGAATAATTTCTGATCTTCGTCGATCGTCACTTGCACCACCAACTTTAGCAATTTCTTCAATAGCTTCTAATAAACCTGGAATTTGTTCTTCAATTCGTGGTCGACCACCCTCAGGTCGATAAACTTTTCTTAATTGTGGATGTAGTTCAGGTTTGGTTTCATATAAATATTCAACCTAAGAAAAAACAGAATAATAAATAACAGAAAAATAACGCGAGAAAAAAATATCACAATTTTTCTTCGTTTAACACGATATTTATTTGAAGCTCGTTGTCTACCTTGAAGACGTCTTAATTCGAAAGCTTTTTTCTTTCTATCTTTCATTAATTGTTTTAATTGTCTTGTATTTTCTGGTGTTAATAAACCCATTTGTTTAACTTGTACTAATGAAGCTATATGAGAATTAATAGCAGTTAATTCGTTAAAAATACGTTGTTGTGCTGGATGTCGTTTATCTTTTTCTAATGGTTTTAAAGCAAAACCAGCTAAATCCGATAAATTATTTAAATCTTCCATTAACTCTTTATCAGCTGGTTTCTTTTTTTTACTGATAGAACTTTTTTTTTTATTACTTTTGTTTCTCCTTTTTCCATCTTGACCGTCATCATCATCATCATCATTATCATCATCTTCATCTTCGTCATTAAAATTAACAAAAATATCACATTCTTCATCTTCCTCTCCATTTTCACTATTTTCTTGATTTGTTTCATTTTCATTTCGGTTTTTCTTTCCTTGCCGGCAGTGATTAAATTTTCGTTTCTTTACAGCTCGCGGTGACGTTGGACGTTCAAGATGTTGCGTTGACGCAGCACAGAATTCATTATAAATTTCCAAATATTCTTCAATTTTTTCTTTTACATATTCTTCATTGCATTTTATTTCACTCCATTCGGCTTGCCCACCATGAAGTTTTACCTATAGTAAAATAAAATAAAACATTATTTTATTTTAATTAAAAAATTTAATATACATTTCGCTCTTCGTTGGGTCGAGCTTTCATATAAGCATCAATAAACATGCTATAAAGGCTTGCACCTTGAGTTTTTTTACTTAATTTCGTAGACATGACGAACACTGTGTCGAAAAAAGTATGAAGAAATAAAGACGTTTATCGAAGATATGTACAAAGAGAAGGAAAGAAAAAAATATTATTTCGTATTTGAACGAAGTTTATTGGTGACCTTTCTTTCTCTTTCTTGGTTGAATGTGCACGGTTACCAGCTATGGTTACTATAAGTTATTCTTTTCTTGAGGCTTTCGTGGATAACGACATCAGGGTAGCAAAAAGAACGACAGTATATATGAACTACCCCAGTCAGGCGAATATACAATATATCATTGATCTTATTATACGGCTATGCACGAAAAATTTCATCGCCCTATACTTAAATTATAATGTTATTCTCACTTGAGAACAAAAACCAGAAAGAAGCTTAACTAATAGACATGATTACTAAACTTTTTTTCCGTCAATATAAACGAGTTTTTTGGTGTTGGTGGAAACAAGTGAAAAATCCATATTCAATCTCACATCCAAGATCTTTTCGTGTTTGGAATATTGAATTATTGACGTTTGCATGCACAAGAAATAGGTCTTTTTACGGTTTTAACTTGTTAATTTGTTTTTCATTTTATTTTCTATAGAAGATATCAGGGTGCGGGTGTGGGCTTTAGCTTAACGAGAGATCGACAGCGATAGGCGCATCCACACCCACACCCTCAAGTTCTGATCGATTCTTTTTAGGAGAAATTTGTCTGTATTGTTCTTGATTAACAGCACCTTTTTTCAAGAGATAACCAAGAAGGCTAATCACAAGATGATGATTTACCGATAAATTGCAATGCGCAGTAGTGCTGCCAACATAAAATTCTTTACTCTTGTCAGTTCAACGAATAATAATATCTGGTCGATGACGCAACATTTTAAAAATACTATCCATTACTTTACGCTTACGGCGAGCACGAATTGCTAGTTTGCGTGGCAATTTTCTGCATTGAAGTTAATGTCCTGCACGGTACTCCTTGTCATACCCCGAACCGGCCAGACTCACTTCTTTATGCCCGGAATTCGACCGGACCAGGTTCGGCTCGACTTTGAATTAGTGGATATTTTACAAACAGTCTCATATTTATACACTTTCCCCACTTTTATATGATAAGACAAAATATACTATTATTTCAATTTGAGACATAAATAATAAAGCATTATGTTGAGCCATGCACAATTAATCATACGACCTTAAATGAAAATAATAGTGAAATAATATTCTGAACTATTTTTCTTGAACTCCTACAATCTTGAATACGAAGAAAAATAAAACAAATGTTGAAACCGCTAAAAATTTAATTTCCATAATCTTAAATAAAACTAAAACTAAAGCTAACATAGCATCATGAACCATTCATTATTTGAATTCTTAAAACCTCAAGCATGAATAATAATAAACCAATACTGTCAATTAGTTACAATTATTTTTTCCTCATAAATAAAATAATAATAAAACATAATGTGGTTTCCCGCTCATAATAAACTACTCAATTCAATTCTGATCGAATCGTTTTTATTGTGTGTGCTTCTACGATAAATAACAATTCTGAAAAGTAAAATATATTTCCATACGCTAAGATGTTACTAACTGCCGGGTCGGATACCGGTTATTCTCTTTTTCTGAACCTGATCGAACTTTTTTTTACACCCGACACCCGAACCGACCCAGTTGCATACGATGATCATTAAGACAATCTTGAATAGTGGGACGTAAGATTGTGTATTGATCATTAACAATATTATCCGTGAATTGACGTGAGAATCTACTTTGAGAAGGTGTAATTAGAGACCTGCGGGACAAACTTTACCGTGTCCCGAATCCCGTTTGTCCCGTCCCGAAATTTTTTGAATTGTCCCGTTCCCGTTTGTCCCGTCCCGATTTTTTTCGATTTGTCCCGTGGAATCCCGTTTGTCCCGGTAAGGCAAAACTTTTTAAAGATATCGCGTAGTTCCGTTGAAGAAAGCAAGAGACTTTTCCCACATGATCAATAGGAAAAAAGAGAAATAGTGAAAGCTTGTCGAAAAAAATTAGTCAAGAAACGTATAGACCAAAATAATTTTGTTTTTATCAAAAATAGAACGGGTACCCTCAAGTAAAACTATGAATTAATACTAACTACATTGATACAATTATAGAGTAAGGATGTGTGTAACTTCAAGCTGTGTTGGTCGAAGATCGACACTCACACATCTTGTTGTGCTCGACATAAATGTTGATACTTGAGAGCAATAGTACTTCTCCGTTTCCATAGTATATTAGCTCTTTATATAACCTGCGAAGAATTTTTTAATATAATCATTATTAAATGACGAAAATCGAGCTTATTGTGATAGGTGTTATTGAAAATGTATAAGCTTGTTTGAGGTAATATATGTCTATAATAACTCCCATATATCAGACATACATGTGCTCTTTTTATGCAAGTAATTTGTCAATCAGTGTGTGTGAAAATTATTTTTCTCATTAAACTTATTACCATCAACTACAGGTTTTACTTAGAAAATTATTTTCTTTTAATTAGACTGGACTATTTTTGTATTGACTAATTTTCATGTAGATCAATTAACGTCGATCAATTTTCGTATCGACCAATTTTCTTACACTCGAAAAAGCACATATGTGTTAAATCCAGACACAATTAATAATTTGTTATTTATTAAGAGAGACATGCGAGTTTTAAATGAAAGTTAACCTTCAGTTGTTTGGATATGTAAAGACAGAAAACTCAATGATTCAGCACCTTCTGTAACACAAGAAAAAACTAAATTGATGACAGGAAGTGAATAATTATATGAAGAAACAATTGAAAAAGATATTGATGATGAATATTTCTAAGTGCATCTTTCAATATTTCTTTTTTTCTGATTTGGACTTCAGCACTAAGATGTTTGTTATAAAAAAATTTTAAATTGCATTACACGTTTTTATACAGTGATTTTAAAATTCGGGACATTCATTTTTTTCGAATTGTCCCGATCCCGTTTGTCCCGTCCCGAAAAATTTTCGGGACAATCCCGTTTGTCCCACGGGACGGGATAACCGGGATTTTTCGGGATTCGGGACTGTCCCGCAGGACTCTAGGTGTAATGTATTGGAGACTTTTGATAAGCACAGTGTGGATGTGTTCTTGAGTAGCAACCGTGTCGCGTTTCGTCTCTACTAAGGGACTCTTCAGATAGCTTCATCTTTTTAACCATGTCTTTGCGGTTTAGAGGTTAATTTTTCATAGTTCGCTTCATGGACAAGCGATTTGTGGAGGTCGAAATCTGTTTGTTTTTAGTGTTTTCAGATGAAAATCATCATGATTTATGTTCTTTATATCCATGTTGGAGTCGATGCTTAGTGAAGCTTTTATAGTGATTATATGAGAGTCGTGACTTTCTGCATTCTCCAGACTATGAAGAAGGGCGTGGATCTGGGTAAGTAGCAACAGCAAAAATACTCTTGAAATCGATACCCGCACTCTGTTTGCTTGAAAATTTAACGACTAGAGATTGGATGCTAGTTGATTTAGGAAATGTAGGTAGAAACTTAAAAGGATAATGCGTCGGTACACAACCAATTCATAGTGACATCAATGTACTCACACTCTCTTCGATAAAAAGCTTTGATAGCAAAAAGTAGAACAATGGTAGACAAAAATCTAGATGAAACTAAAGTTTATTGGAACCATGTTATGTTAAACTTCACATAGAACACAACAAAATATTGTTTCATCGACAAAAAAAAAGAATTAAGACGCTACTTTTATTCACAGAACAGAAATAATCATTCGGAATTAACCAGCGAACATTTCAATAAAATTTGCTGACATTATTCAATCTCCGTATTATGGGCTGTTTGCGATTGTTCTGTTGATTTTCGACAGCGAACCATAAAGGTACGTAAGGGAGGAGCGATCAGTAGTTTTACGACGATAAACAGCAGACCGAATGCTTCCAAGACAAGAAATATAAATAAAAAGTTACGAAATATAATTTCCGCTTGTCTAGCTATTGGCTCTTGCATATTGTTGACATAGAAGACTGTCTTTGCAATAGTCACATTGATACTAGTTTGCACTCGTTGAAAAAACGAATATCGATTTTCAGTATTAAATATTTCACCTGTTTTGACATTGTACGACGATGACCAGATCGCACTAAATACTGTCAATCCATCAGTAGACAATGGTGCCGTTTTATTAATAATAGGAGTCAACTGAAGAGAAAACAAAGATGAAGGAGCGAGCACTTGATCCACTAATGAAGGAGTAAATGTTGACGCAAAATTGAGTTCAAGCAGAGTATACCTGATAAAATATATCGAGTAGATTATAATGAGGGATAAATCACTTTAGCATTATCGGATAGTGATGGTTTTGAGTGTGATACGTCAAATGTTATATATGCTGATTTACATATGACATCAACGATACGTAGTATAAAACTACTCAGAATCAAACTATCTAATCAATTGAAATATGAATATATATGACCACTTAACTGGTAAATTTGATTTAGATAGAATGAAATTCGTAAAAATCTAAAATCAAACTCAACTAAAGAAAGTTGCTTCGACTCAATCTCAAGTGCCGAACGTCGTTTGACTCTGTATTTTGGCTACGACTAGAACCTAGTGGGACTAAGAAAATCCTAAGCTAGTTCGGGTCCATAACACGTTTCTAGCGAGATGTCAAGTTTTCAAAAAAATGCATACTGTATAGACTATCAATGAGAAAGGCTCTATCTCTTGATAATTCTATATAAATACCTAAACTGATTACCTACTATATGATTAATATTTTCTCAATATTTTACTTCAAATTAGTTTACCTTCCATCTGCACTGGAAGCTGATGGTCCAATCAATCCAAGTCGAATAGCTCCCACTGTTTTCAGCCCTGATAATATGAGTTGAACACTAATCTCCTGTGCTGGAAGTGAAACTGTCAAGGATAAGATACTTGAATTATAGCTTGTTTCACATTTTGTCATTGGTAAAACAAGTAATGTATAATCTAGGACATGATAGACGGTCAATGAGTCTTGACAGGTGAATGCTGTTTGAATAAGATCAACCTTAAGGTAAAATTGTTGTGCGTTAATTAAATCAAGCATGGGTTGAATTTGCTTGTTTGGGTTACGATGCTGAGCCATTGCTTGTAGGTTGGTACTAAATTTCGAATTACCCAGGGTGACATCACAGGCAAATGAGCTTTCACTGGTCATATTCTCTATCGGATATTGACGATAAAATGCCCCTGAAAAAGTACAAGCTGAAATCACGAGTACAATTACCGCAACCGAGAGAAGACCACCAATCCATAGCTAAATCACAAGAACAAAAGAAATAATGAATTAAAGATTTTTCGTGCTCATTATTTTTTTTTTGAGATAGAATTTAAAACAAAACATGTTCTAATTCTTCATGTACACATGGATTTCAAAAAAATCGTTTTTTCTTAGAGTCAATACGAGCTGATAGAATTTGGAATAAAAATGAAGAGATTTAATAATCAATAGTCCCTCATGCAATCGACATCTGATAATATTGCCCTTCGGTTATTCAATCCATTTCTAAAGCTGCAACTGACACATTATGTACTGAGTAGGAGTTTAATTAGTCTTATCTATTAAACATATCGAAAAAGGGACAACAAAAACTTGATTTACTTCTCCTTCACCAATAAGATCCATTTTCTTTAATATTCGTTTGATTCGATTATGGATATTTCGTTGATTTGAACAATGAACTTCAGAGATCACAAGTGTTAATGCTACTATTATTCCAAATACAATAAATACGAGCACCCATGTCATTGGTGATACGAGCGCACAATGACTCGATTGCCAGTTCAGCATAAACATGTTTAGTAAAAGTATGTCATCGAAGACAGTACTTTCCGGTGAATCAGGATACTCTTGTACTTGATCGATTGATTGAAATGTTGAATAAGGAAGCTCTTCAACGCTACCGAATGGACAGAATGAAGCATTTGAATTACATGTTTGACAGCCACTTGAAAATGTACCATGAGGACATGGAATGCACAATTCAATTCCGGCATAATCTCGATTTGTTCCTCGAATGCAAGGAACGGAAACCGACCTGAAAAGGCGTACATTTGTATCTGGAAAACTGCCGGCAGGTGACGAAAATACAGCACTTGGACTCCCCAAACTGTCCAGAGTAATGAAGTCACCTGAAATGGAGCACATAAGACGAATAAAGAACACTTTCGATTTTGAAAATATTTGCTGTTGACTATTCGGATAGATAGAAATTGGTTGAACGTTGCTGGAAAAGCCGTCTGATTCAATATCATACATTTGGACGGAAGATGAAACCCATTCATTGGTTGAACGAGATAACCAATTAGCGAGAATCAGTGCCTTGTTACCATGCACATCCAGCCATGCTACGCTCTTACCAAACCCAGTAGAATCCATGCCATTGTCATAAGTACCGATCGGATTTGAAACATTATCAAATGCATACAATAAAACAATATTTAACCATGGAACACCAATTAGAATACGTCTGGAGCCCCAAGAAATACTCACTGACATCATTGACTGTGCAGAATAAATACGACTTTGAGTATTGACATCAATGAAACGTATATCAGACCAGCTAAAGCTTATGTCTTGCCTTATTAAAATATTTGTAATGACCTTTGGCTGTGACCATGATGTGTTCAATTGAATGATGCAGCCACATTCGATTGCAATCGATGATGTCAATTGGCAGTAGCCGACTAGTACACCATAGTCCACATTATAACCAATATCAATGGCTCGAGGTGAAATATTGAATGTGTTGGGCCACACGCTTATGGAAAATGGTAATTTTAACGCATAGAAAAACATGAAATCATCAGCAAATCCATAGACACTCGCATTATCTGCACCAATAGCGATGATAAAATTGTCTTGTGTTGAATAATTCGTGATGATTTTCTCGTTGTTCGATTGAACCTTGCAGATATTATTTATAGTAAAGACCCCAACGACATTATTTCCATAAAGATCGATACAATTATAGATAAGCGATGTACTGCTATTGAACATTGGAACAATAATACTGTAGACAAAGTCGCACGTTGTTGTTGCAAAGCCTACTGTACAAGAAATTGTATCATTGGAATCGCTAAAAATAAAGTAAAACGTTTTCCCCCAGTTATCAACAGTGGCAATAAAGCGATCATTCATAGCGACTTTGATTCCATATAGATCATAATCGGTGGTGAGTTTTGTATAAAATAGTCCCTGGCGAGCAAGAAGACCAACCAGAAGGATCTTGGCAATAATTGACATGTCGAGAGTTCTGTTAAAAGTCAAAATATATTATTTATTAAATTATACGATACATTGCTGTACAATCAACTATCTTATTTTCTCTCAACTATCGAACAAGAATTAATACGATAATTGTATTTTTCATCAATCTTGAAACAGTATATTTGGTATCTAACACAAACATTGGTCTTAGTAACGGATTTAGAATATTGTAGTTTGGAAATTTTTTATAGGTATAAAATGATGGTAATGATTCTCTACATTCTTATCACTCTTTAAATATTGGAAATAATGAAATCTATCCTTCTTATGCCTTATAGAGCTTAAGTATCAAACATTTCTATTGAAAGTAATCGTGGACTAACAGCGACGCAAAAAGATTTGACACTTAAATAATTTAAGAAGTTAAACATTGAGTGTGTTTGTTAATATAAAGTCTTTTATCTCGAAGCTCCAGTCAAGAAACAACAAGGGGTCTATTTCCAATAAACAGTAGCATAGCTTTTACATCATCCAATATTTCTATATTTGCATATCGTATCCATCAACTAGCGTTTGTTAAAATAAATAGTAGCTATAGATTGTCCACAAAATAGTGAAATAATGTGTAAATAAAAAGGAAAGTCAAACAAAAATATTTTTTTGTTAAAAGATCAACAGTAGACAAAAAATCGATCGGTGGGCTAAATGCTCATTTCAAGCGGAAAAGTATCGTTCAGATCAAAAATAAATTCTTTTGCCTTTCTGTTTATAAAGGAAGATGGACAATTTACATGCAAGTCAATGTGCATGTAGCAACCCTATATCGAACTCTTGTATCGTCACCATTCAGAAAAGATATCCATGCCTGCATAACCTTTTCCGAGTTATACAAAATGTGCACCCACCAAACATTGCTCTTTTTAATTTTTCACATTCTTTGTGTAGGAACTCTCGGAACTACTTCACGTGCATTTATACTGTGTATTTTTCAGACTTAGAAAAACATAAAAATATGATTATTATTTTTGTTACAGTAATTTTGCTGATATTATGATCATCAGAGCTGTCCCGCCTCTTAAAAAATATTTTCGTTTGAAGACGTAAGACACGCAGATTTTAGTTGGTAAATATGTTTTCGAAGTCGAAGTTTTCGTGCTGCTCCTTTTCCGTCACAGGCATTGAATAGCAAACTATATCTACCTCCTCCTAATTATTACACGCATGAACAACCCAGATTAAACAAGGAATATTTATAATAGCTTTTTTCTCATTTCATTGATTGTTTATTATTATCAAAAGTATTTTCAAAACATTTCAAAATATACGTAACTAGAATGGTTGACCTCTATCGCTTTAATTGTCAGTGGCAAATCCATAGTAACACTCTAATGTAGTATTTTTCGTTTTTCCAATGAACTAAACTTCTAAAATTCTACATAAAACTGCAGCAACAAATACTATTCTCAGAGACTCTTTGATAGACATAATTCAATCTAAAACTCCTAAGAAGTAGAGTAAACGGAAAAGAAATAAACGAATAGGTCAACTTCTGAGATCTCATTTTTCGACATCATCAGTTAGCAGACGCAAAAAATGGTTATGTGGATCTTTTTATACAGAAAAGCTCAAGTGTTTTAAAAATAATTGTGAACATAGTAGAAAGATTCTACATTAGAGTGTAGCGACAGACTTAAAACTTTGTAACTGCTTAGTACAAATTATGTGCAATATTCGTGTAAAATATCAAGAATTTCACTTTTGTTGAATGCGAGAATAGTCAAATAAAGTTGTCTGCTGATTTGTCACTAGCTTTGGTCAAATGAAAATGAGCAGAAGACTTAGAACAGAGCTGATACAGAGTACTTACCGCTTTTTATTGTGCTTTACAAAAAAAACAATCTGGAATACGAGGCCAGCACACTCTATTAGAGTATTGATTTCATGCTTTTCATGTTATTTCCTCAATATCCTCCACTTCACTCTTGAAAAAAACAAAGATTAAAACGAGTTATGGTGGAATGCCGTTTATTAATTTCTACAGGCAAATGAACCGAATTAGAAATATTTTCAAGCGTCATTAGCAACGCGGTGCGTGTATATGTGCGTTTTTCATGCCCAAAACTACACCCACACCCTCAAGATGACCCTCTTAAGCAAGGTTGAAACGTGTCATAGTCTAGTTAAAAACACACCTTCACGCCCTCCCTGTAGGTAATCTATTTTCGCGTTTCAAAAATGGTGAGTCTTTGATGAACTTAGACGAAGATGCTTGTGAAACATCCATTAGCAACACTGGATACGATTCCACGAAGTAATCCACTGATGAAAAGTAAAAGCAAAAATCAGTAGTTCGATTTTTCAATAATCAAAAAGTGTTATACTAGATTTGTTTGTGACAGCATATCGATCCCATAGATTCGAACAAGTAAAATTATAATAATAATTTCTCATTCGTAGATTAGTGTCAAGAACAAAGTCGTTGTCGCATGATGAACGGTAGCTATCCCAGACTGTGAGATTGCGACTAGAATTAGGATTCGAAGTACGAATAAAATTAATCCAATATAAAATCATATTCGTAGATAGCTGTTGCTCTGAGTCAGTAAAATTATAATTTGGATACATATAGTGAAGAAGAGACGGAAAGAGCATAAGAAGTTCAGCAACATGAAAAACGCCAACGCAAGATGGTGTAACCGGTAGAACATGATCATACGTATACAAAAACGAAGGTAATCCATGACTAGCAAAATGAGAGGCGACACGTCTGGATCCACAATGAGCCCAAGAATCACTATATACTATGTTCAGATAAGTTAATGGATTGTTGCAACTGAAAATAGAACCATAAGTATTCGCAAGATCATTGATGATACTATCATTGTATATTGTTTTGAAGAATGCTTCAACTTGTGTAGTGTTGGCTGTTCCATTAAAAAGCGGACACGTGAATAGCGAGGTCTCATTTGCATTGGATCCAACCAGTATGGGAATTTTTTGAAAGTTTCCTTTCATATAACTATTCTCCATGATATCATCCAAAACATAATTATCAATCACTGGCGAAGCCACTATTCCAGATATACTTTTCGATGCAACAGTATCCTGAGCTATGAGTATTTGATCTACTGTTAGATTTCGTAGGCAACCTAATGTAGTACAATTTACAATCGCACGTAAAACTTTGCCACGACTGTCTATTGCATTTTCTAGTGCGATAGCGTAATTAGGCCATATGGTACCACTCTCTACAATGGCTCTTTGAAAAGTACCATTAACAACCAATGGTGATGTAAGTAAAGCGGTGACACTTATACCACCAGCACTTTCACCACCGATAGTTATTTGCTTTGGATCACCACCAAAACCTTGAATATTTTTTTCTATCCAGTCTAATGCTATCATCTGATCCAATATACCATAGTTTCCTGTGGTGCTTCTGTTATCGATACCAGATCGCTCATCATATAATGCTTCATCAGCCAAAAAACCGAGGAGACCGAGTCGATAATTAATCGTAACAACAACGACAGGAATCAAATTTCTTATGCCTATACTTACAAATGGAGTGGCATTATACAGTATACCAGCTCCAGCGATAAAACTACCTCCATGAATCCAAACATATACTGGCACATTACTTGCATTCACAGGAGTATAAACATTTAAAGTGAGGCAGGATTCAGTGTGCAGCACTCCTAAACTATCTTTCTGAGGACATGCATTAGAAATGTATGCCTCGCTAGTGTCATTAGCCAGGCCAAGGGCACGAGGAGGCTTCCATCTAAGGTCACCAGTTGGTTGTTGTGCATAAGGTATTCCGTACCAATAGTTGACACTCGTACCATTTACAATTACTTGACGACCAATATAAGCACCCTGTTGTGTTTCAGCTATCGGAGAAATGTAACTAGCTATGATGACATGAAATATCAGTGGTCCAATCAAGATCAATGGCAAAACTTGTATAATGATCATATATGCAACAGCTATGACCCTTGTAAAATATTGTATGTTTATATCGATGGAGTTGACTTGTATTATTTGTTAAAAATCCTGAAATAATACTAGTATGAATAGTGTTTAAAACCTACGACGGCAACTCACTTCTATCTTTGTATCTCTGATTAAAAACGTAGAAACATCAAATGTTCGACATGTTTCATAATGTGTGATATATATACATCCATTATCATCTTTCTTGTTTAGCCCACGTGTTATCTTCTCTCTTGCGTTCTTTTCAGCCCAATAGAGTAAATAATGCAAGAAGAACAAATTTGGTCACGAAGTTTGACTATTATGCTCGAAAGTGTCGATTTCATCGATAACCCATGCAAGCATCAAACGTAGAAAATCAAGCGTCCAGGCGTGGTTTCGTTTAGTATCGCGTGCAGAGAAGTGTGGGTGTATGTGGGTATGACAGAAATACGATGATGCTCAAACACACATCTCATACCCCTATTTTTTATTCGTTTCTAAAGGGCATATTTAGCTTAAAAACTGGAAAAATGCAAACGAAAAAGTTGAGTCTTGACAGGGGAATCTTTTTGTCTATTAACGTCCTCCATCCTTTATCACATGAATATATATATATATATATATTTCTTTTCTTTCGTTCTGTGCAATGATCGAAAGAAAGCGATTATTTGATTGTCGCAATTGAGTGGTGTCACATATCCAAAATTTTGGAGATGCCACCACATCTCCCACAGGAGATGCCGCGTCTCCCGCTGGAGACGTGACACCCACGGTCGGGAGATCCGGTCATTCACCACTGGAGATGTAAGATCTCCTTTAGAGATGCGCATTCCCCACACCCACACCCACATCTCTCGCGCGAGATGCGGCGTCTCGCGCGGGAGATGTGGTGGCATCTCCGAAATTTTGGATATGTGACACTGCTGTCGTAATTTCTCAATGCATCTCTATTTTCGTAGTAGAACGATATGCACTTCTTACTTTATAGTATATCTACTGCATTTTGATGTAAAATTACTTTTTGGTACGTTAATACAAGCAAGCTTGTAACAGCAGCTAGTCCTGATAGTTTATTGTGAACCGAAGAAAATGGTAAAAGTTTTATTCATTTCAATACAAATATTTTACTATTAGAACAAACTGTCATCAGAACACCATTTTATTAAAAGTATAGTTTTATACATTTGTCCTAATTTGATAGTGGTAATGACAAACGGGAAAGCTTACGTCTGTATTTTAGAAGTACAGAAGTGCGCTTTTCTTCCTTGGTTAATGACCTAATGCAAGACGTAAAAGAAAAATATTCATGACATCGAATGAAATAGCAGATAAATTACAGAACCTTTTTAATGTTATCAATGAACAAAATATGAATGTTCGTCTTGAAATAGAAGCTTATTTTATGCTAATGGCTGTACATATCGTACACAAAATGTAGCCTTGAACTTTGTGCTGATCACGTTGGAAATCGATTGCGGTATACTATTCTCATATATTACTAGTCTGTGATAGATTTCTTTATAGTATGAGTAAACATCCATGTGACCAGTCTCGTTTAGTCACTATCATAGAACATGCTGAAATCTGATTGGTGTTGCTATTTTTCAGCTATGAAGTGCAATGAGGATTTCATGGCAATGCTAATCTGACTTAACGATATTATATGGTACTGACTGAATGTAACTAATCATGGCAATATCTATTAATGAGATAGTATCAGGATAACGTTAGTTGTAGCTCATAGTGATAAGAAACCAAACCACTCAACCATAACACAGAATATTAAAGCTTAACAGTATTAAGTGATCAGGAAAACGAGAAAAAAGCACATGTAACCGCTCCACAAGAGGAAAAAAGCGACCTTCCTACTTTAAATACTTCTCTTGTACGTCTATTGTACGATCTTGAGCGTGTGGGTTAAAATAAATCAACCCAGACCCAGAATCAACCCTAAAATCGAATTTCAATGAGATTCGACTAGCTCCTAACGGTAAAATCCAGTGCTAACTAGATGGTTAATTAATGAAGTACTCATAGGAATAATACTGACGCAGAATGGAAATTTTAAAAAAGAAGTGAGCTCTCTTTATGGAGTTTATACTTCTAATTATTTCAACTTTCTTACACTCTGACTTGTTACTTTTGCGAACGACTACGTAGATGAATTCGGAAGTAGAAACATCTAAGTAGGATCTTAGTGAAATCCCATCAAATTCTACTGGTTAGTCTCACCTGGCAGGACTCGATCAGATTCGTTATCGCATTCATACACGTTGTCACAAGCAAAGACTTTATTTAAAGTGTCAGATTAGTATTTACACAACAGTATGCTTTATGCTTCCTTACAGATGCCCTTTCGGCGGAAAAGAAGAGTACTTAACATTAGTATGATCATTTTAAAAAAGGAGAAACATTTTCAAGTGATATTTTTCTCTGATCGATGAGAGATTTTTATAATAAAAAAAAACTAAAGCGTATCATTCTTTAAATATTGATTATATACTTAAAATCAACTATTTGGTTGCAAATCGGTCCAATTATGCAAGAATAATTAGGGGTAAAATAAGAAACTATTGTGTTTTACACTCCAGCTATGTTCGTAATTTTTTAAATAGAAAAATAACTATGCTATAATGAAAATACCATCTTGTTGAGAGAAACGATCCATGTCCGATATGCTGTCATTCTACTGAAGTTTTACTTCATCGAATTTTTTCCAATCTTAGGCGGAATTCGTAAACCTTTCAGAAATTTCTTAATGATATTTTTACTGTAATTGGTAGCGTTCGCGACACAAGGTTTTTCCAAATACCTGAATTATTACATAACGAAAGAGAAAGACAGAATATATGAATTTCATTGAATAAGATAGAATATACAAATATGAACGAAATGTTCTCTTTTCTTTAGAACAAAACTGTTTAGCGCAAGCGTCTTATTGATGTACACATTTGTAAATAAAAATTTGTTTAACAGTTTATGCATAATTTCTATTTTATTTGACCGCGATCACCGTCACATGAGATTTCGCGGCATGTATACTTGCCCTCTAACCATGTGTTTACTTGCGTTAATCTCATTTCTATCATTTCATCTAAATTAAAACATATTGGAATCGTCACACTATTTTGTGAGTGGGCGTCGGTAGGTACTGTGCAAGCTTTATGGGAATTTTCAATCTATCGACTACAATGATAAGAATTATTGCGCGGATTTCGAAAAATTTAAACATAATCTAACAATCCATATTTTCTTTAAGTGTGAGATTAAGCACGGACTTTTTTACAAATCGTATCTAACTGTTTATTTATGTGAATTGGACACTATTACGATTCTAATGTATGCATATCATTTTGACGACAAAAATAGAAATATGAAAATAAAACTTCTCAAACGAAAGTACCAAAACAAACTACTTATCAATCAAAGCTCTGTAATCGACGCATCGCCGTACGATACAGTGTATCATTGTTATTTCAGATTTAAAAGCAAATCTATTGGAATTTGTTGGCTTGCCAGTCTTAGTGGAAGGATTTATTAGTTCAGAGAAATCAATAGTTTAAATTATATTTTCACGCAAATTATTAAAATATAGTCTTAAACAAAATATCCCCGTTAGTGCATCGATTATATCCACTTGGCTTTCGATGCGGTGCATGTAAACATACTAAGATGAGTATTTCAATAGCAGCCACATGTATTCTTTGTTCATGGACTATAAATTTTGTTTCGCTCATCTTTATGGGTCACATCGGACAAGCAGAATTCAACCCAAGCTCATTAGCCAATACAATTAGTACTCCTAGCTGTTTTGCAATAGTATCATGCCTTAATTTTGGTTGCGATACTCTACTTCCACAATATTTTGGTGGTAACAAACGTAAAACGGGAATTATCTTACAACGTGCTGTAATAAACATCTGCCAGGATAGTAGAAGAGATGTAGTTCGAGTCCCGTGAATGATTTCATTTTTCTCTGTCATCTGTTCGTCCCAACTCGCTGTATTTTACTGAATGATTCATACGAACTAAGAATCATAACAAAAAAAAATAACGGGTAATGTAAAATTGATCACTGACACATATTGAAGTAACTATGGATACTAGAATTAGTATGAAGGGTTGTCTTTTGGATGCATTTCAGATACTCTGTCTCTCAGGAGACAAAGTTGTGTGGAGAAATATCACGCCCTCAGATGCATAAGATGAGTTTGAGAAAAATCACGCAGCTGTTAAATTTATCTGATTAAAAAATAAATGTCTCAGAAATTAATTCATTCGCGTTTTTTCACAGTTGTTATCTCGACATAACTGACTTCATCATGTTTCATATAAATTATGATCATATATTGAAAGACCCGGAATTTTATAGAAAAACTTGGAAAATATTACGAGATGACTTTTGTAGTGTCTGTTGCTTTTTTACTGTAGAAGTTAAGCAATCTACTAGATGTGAATTTTTCAAGTTTTCAGGAGAAGAAAACAATTTAATGCCCATATAGGCTATAACAGTATAGAATTTTACTCGAACTAGTTTCTCGGGTGTGATTAATAGTTTTAGAAATTAAACATAAAAATAATAATTTTTACAGAATATTTATTTCTCAAGAATCATAATAAAAATCCTGAAAAATATTACAGGAACGAGAATAAAAACGGCTGCTGCAAGAAGACATAAGCTAATTCATACGAACGCACTTAATTAAGTCGTTGTTGACACAAGAGCATATGTCATATAGTAGAAAAGCGAGGTGCTATGGGATATGAAGTGTTTCCTTAGTGCATTTCTAAAGCATGAAGTTAACGGTTCTTGAGAAAATGTATTCGGGAATACATGGAATTAACGAATCTTCCGCTAATTACCAAGAGGTGTCAAGCTATTTAGCGCATGTAAAACTCGCAGAAGCTAAGCTGACACGCTTTTTCTTCATTATCGAAATTCTTCTTTCATTTATGCTCTTTTCAGGGTCGAATACTGGTCAATAGAGACAAGCGTTCTATTTGCGGCTCCTATCAGTGACAACTCACTTACAACTCAAGTCGTTCTGCAGCAAATCATGTTTGTTTTTTACTTACTTTCAGAGGCTGTAAGCGATGCAGGCCATATTCTTATGGGGCAATATTTTGATTTGCGAAAACCAAATTACGCAATCAATACTAAAAATATATTTTATACTACTGCTTCTATTTTTATGTTATTTGATGTCGTATTTATAGCTGCATTCCATTTGTGGATACCGTATATTTTCAATGTCTCACAAGCAACGCTAACGTTAACTCAAAATGATCTTTTACTTATTGCTTTTTTAGTGCAGTTGACGGCTATCACGTGATTCAAACTGGTATAGCAAACGCATGGCTAGTCTTTTTTCTTTGAATATTTTTCATTGCATTTTGTAAACGTCGTATCTTATCGCACAGTTTCACTATGTCTATGAAAAATTAATGTGATTGCCAACTGTATTTTTGTTTTAAAACGATTGGGGTCTATATAGATAGATTGTATGTTGAGGATGTGAGACAGATCGGCTCGTGAGGATGAATATTTTCTTCACACACATCCGCTCACTAATTTATTGGGACTGTCCTCTATCGAATGTTCTGGAATTTTAAATGTTTTTGACCGTGCTTATAACATTTTGCATAGCTATCGTCAATATACCAAATATCTGAAAACGTTACTTGCTACATTTTGATGTGCTCTTGTATGTAAGAATACTTGTGGACTATTTCACCTTACTGGCCCAACCAAATCATTTATAGGCGAGATGATGCGCTCACTGTCAATCGCATACACTACAAGACCAACATTGCACGGCGATAAAATACTATCATTGAAATAAATAGGGGCTTCAAATTTAAAAAGGTGACTTCATTTGCAACATCGATACCGTCTGATCGGCTCAATTGTTAGAGCTAAAGCTTTGAGTTTATTCCGAACTCTTACGTGTTTGTATCTACAATAGAAATATTAGTTAAATTCAGTAGATAGATAAAGTAACATTCTGCTTCAGACAATCGTGGCTTACATGTTATGCCTCTTAACTATGTTGTGAGAATTATAGTTTTCGTTTATCTTAGAGAAGTCTACCTCACAATCGAGCTACGGCAATGCATCGTACTTCACCTGTAGCTAAGTATTGAGATTGAAATATATTATATCATTGGGACTTGATCCCCAAATATAGTTTAGTAACCATAACTTGCATTGTTTTTTAGTATTTTAATTCTGAATTCCAACACTAAAGAGGAAGATAGAAGCGTTGCAGCAGAGTCGTTGAAATGACTAACATAGATATTGATTGAGTACAACACGTTTATTTTTATTGTTTGATACCTTTCATTCGTTAGTAATTCTTCTTTGTTCTATTCAATTTTTAGTTCATAATCACTTGATGGTTTTCAAATTTTTTCAGCTTGTCTTAGAATATAGAGAAAAAATTGCAAATGCGAGTCGAAAAATGGTCTAAAATGTCTTTCATCTACTTATGACTTATAACGTATAAGTTTAAAATATTTTTATCCTAGTGGACTTCAAAAATATTCAGCAATTATCTGGTTTGTTGGCTTTTGGATTCTTGGACTTCCACTCGCGTATGTTTTCACACGTGTTGCACATATGGGAATTTATGGGTTCTGGCTTGCTATGCTTACTGCTGAAACATTCGCCCATACATCTCAATTTATCCTATTGTGGTGATGCGACTTTTTCAGTTATAATGAAGAAGTACAAGAACGCATTAATCTCACGTTGCCATCACAAGCATCAGAATATATGTCACCACCGAATCAGTCCGCAAGTATTCCGAATACTCATGAAAATATTGAATTATTGAATATGATTGGTAGTGAAAAATATGCTGCTTTGAATTCATCTATAGAAGACGGAGTTCAATCTGGATCGAACCAACAATTAATGCAAAATCTTCAGACTACAGAACATGAGTCATTATTTAAATTGGTTCGAATAAAACTTCTTATTTTGATACCATTGATCAGTTTATTTATTTTCAGTTTGATTATGCTTTATAAATCTTAGTTTTCGAACGTTATGCAATAGAAATTTTCATACTGAGTTACACAAGAAATATACCTTTGAACTTCGGTCTGATATTTGAACGGCTAAAGTGTAATCACTCATTATTTTCGTATTATTGACCCTTCCGCCCTCTGATGAAGCTTCTAGAAACGTTAGTCTACGCTAAACAACTAAGAATTAACATTAAGTTTAGAAAGAAAGCATACGAATGGAAGTGGAATACAATAAGAAATACAGATTTTAGCGGTAATTTTCCTTTATAACCATCTTTGATAAGACCAACAACAGATGGATGTGGGTGTGGGATGTAGCGATATTCACATTCACACCCCATCCAAAAAGTATACCAACACTAATCGTGTTTCTATCAATCACCATGCATTCTTTTGTCATGAAATATCACAATCTCTCCATAATAATCTTTCGAGAAGAAAAAGTCTCAGTGAATAGCACAACGTCGACTACCATACAATTCTACACAATTGCAGACATTATCGATTAGAACAATATTCATGAATCTCCGAAGTGAGTAAGTGATTCGAGTTTCTAATATCCATTGATAGTAACAATAAACGTTCCCAAGTTGTCCGAAAAACAGTGCAGTAGTTCAGTGATATTGAACACGATCCATCAAGAGATTTGCAAAATATAATTTGACCTTGGATTCAATCTATACTTTGCTAAAAAAAAGCAGAGAAATATTCGAAGACATACGTTTTCTCTATCAAAGATGATATTTACCTCATCATTAAGAGGTATGAAAAGCAAAAAATATATAAAATGGTGTGTTTATCACATGCTGATGAAAACTTTCGACTATACGTATATTCTGTGATCCTGGTTGCATTTCTATGACTCATCGTTTACATTGTAACGCTCCGTATTAATTTCGCCCAGTTGCAAATGTTTTGTTCTAATTTAATATGTCGAATGGTCGAGTTAGTAAAGCTCGAAGTTCTATTAGAAACAGCATAGGAAAAACTTCTATACTGTTTTCGGTTGAATAAACGGAGAGAGCTTATCGAATTTTAAATCTAAATTTTCTTGCGTACTGAGATACAATAAAATTTTATGCTGAAATTCATATTTTCAAAGAAACCAATTTTTGATTGAATTTTTCTGGGAATGAATTTCTGGAGATCGCACAGTTCATTTCAGAGAGAAGCACTTGTAAAAGATCTTGGGTTCCTTTTAAAAATAGAATCTTCGAATATATGGAGAAAATTTCAATGAATCCAGATAAATCGAAATTATTTTTGTGATTATATGCTTCAATTGAGAGTTCCAGTTCTCATTCTCGCTAGATAAACCATGACGTGGCAAAAAATTCGTTTATTCGATTCTCACGTTCAATTAAAAATCAAAACTTTGTAAAATTTTCTTTTGATATAACATAAAACGTGAGTCAACAATCAACTATAAATTCCTAGCAACTTACGATGATCTTCTCTCACTTCTTAGTAGCATTCGTTGGCAAAGCCTTGAAAAACTCTGAATTCAATTTAAAAAACGCGTATTCAAAAAATTCATGTCCGGCGAGTAAGTTCGGCTCTTTGTTGAAGATGACGTAATGATATGTTCGTAATAGTTCAAAGAATGCATGAATATTGTTGGGGTTGCTTGGATGAACCTCCACGAGAATTTGGTGCGGTAAAAATTCTGCTGGAAATCCCATAATATCAGGAAACAACGAGTATTCACCACCTTCAATATCGATTTTCAGTACGTCGATTTTCCGTTGAGTATGGCCAAGTTCTTCGAGTATAGTTGTCCAACTTTTCGAGTTATTAGGATGAGTACCATTACCGAAAGTGATTTGATGAAAGATGCAAATGTTTTGCGGACAAGTGTATCGTCTTTGGTCGAATGTATGAATTTCACAATGTGGCATAACTTTTTTCATATGAACTTCGAAGCCAAAATCGCCATTGGAACCAGCACTATAAATCAAACAATTCGGTCGAGCTTTCAATCGATGAGGATCACACACCCATTTGCCACCATCGCCCATCTGACCGATCCGTCTTGCATGAGAACAATGAAAGTTCGGCTCCCAGTTCGAAAGAAAAAAAATGTTACTGTTACGTTTCTTCATGTTTTCTTTGTCTTGTGTTTCATAGACGGTTTTACGTTCATTCCAAACGACATTCGATTCACAAATAAAATTATCACTTTCAATTAATGATAAACGACAATCGTTGTTAAAGAGAAGTGATGTTCGCGAGCATGATTGTCCGTTCCAGAAAAATGGAATCGAGATGACAGTGAAAAGTGAAATAGTTATTATGGCCACTGTGAATCGAAGTTCCATCGGTTGATAATGACTGATTGACTCAGAGAATACTACAGTAAGAAAAGCGCATTAATAGATGAAAGAAAGAAATTAATCCATCACATGTGTTCATTAGGTAGGACACTGATACAGTGTCGCCAAAGCTCACAGTCAATGAAACCAATCACTTCTTCTGTCTGCGATAATCATATGCTATTATAACAGACTTGTCTCTTAGAAAAAAATGCAATGGAACCGACAGGATCTTTTAGCCTAGTATATTTCTTTCAGTTGATTTGCTTTACTCACTATGCTGAATTGCCAATGGGTAACATTGAGTGTTGCGGCTTTTTAATGGCTTTTTTTTTCATCTTTTACACATGGGTCGCAGGAGAGACAAATGCCTCTCTCTCTCTCTCTCTGTGTGTGTGATCAAATCTAAACGGTAGAGCAATTTCGCTTGCATCATTCTTTTGTAAATATTCATGTAACACATGGCTTCGTAATGACACTCTTTTGTAAAAAAAACAGAAATTCTGAGGCACTATTTATGCAGAGACGTTATTCCAATACATAGAATATTGATTTACACTAAGACAATCTTTGTAGGCCTCTAAAACGATTAAAAAACATTGCAGATGATTAGAAAAAGGAACGAGTGAATACGAATCAGAGCGAGGGGTATATCGTGTCTACGCTTCAACCTAGGTATCAGTGATTGGAGTTAGGAATGATTCCGAATCTGGGATGATAATATTGATAATGCGAAAAACGAGAGTTTCACAAGTAGCAAGCCAGTCGCTACTCTGCATTCTCAGTGTCAATATCGAACGTTCACAATTCCAATCGTGCTCTTTATATAGATGATTCCATTGAATTTCAATTTGTTTTGTATTGTTTTCTAACTTCAACTGATGAATGGAATGAGGGGAAGAAAGAAATAGATCATAGACTATTTTTAAGCATTAATTGTTTTCACTGTGGCAATATTTTCACAAATTTACTAATCTCAGCCAAATTATAATGTATTATTAGAAATAAGAATTTTGTGACATACGTCCTTCGTTTGTTTTTATCAAATGACTCATTTATTGTATTTCGTTACGCGACAACTTTGTCACTCTGTTTCACCGCCTTTCTTTTACAAACTCATTTTATATGTGCACCCTAGGAAGAATGACTGTACGTAGCAACAGTAAAATCATTTACGGACGAGTAGATAAACAACAACGAATAAATATTTGTACAATGAATTCCGGCGAATTAGAATACAAAAATCGATGTTCAATTATATTCATATATTTTTATTATTTATGAACAATTGAATTACTTGCTCTTTCCCAGGTATATCCAGAACGAAGCATTTAAACAACTGAAACTCTCATAATTGTTGAGCATCGTTAGTCGACCATAAAGAATGAGAACACAGCCCAGCATCTTTCTTTCAAAATTATGATGAAATTAAAGCTATAATTCTGTAAATTCGTGAAAAACTCTATCACATATTATGTCATCAACAATCATGTAAAACTATTCATCTATGAAAGCGTCATCTCACAATCTCTTCATAATAATCTTTCACACACTCATATGGAAGAAATCGTCTCAAGGAATACGACCAATAATACTATCGTTATATATTTGACCTGGACACGTCTAAATGAAAAATTTGTTCCCTTCAGATAATACTTTTTACTTTTTTTTAGATAAGCAACCAAGGGGGAAACAGCAGACTCCATAACTCCATCTGACTCCAAGAGGATGGAGTCTCTTATTTCCCTCTTGACAGTATGACTCAGTACCCGGAAGTTGAATTCCCATCACAGAATAAACAGCTCAGCTTTGGGAATTCTACTTCCGGGTATTTACTGATATTGTTCTGTTGTGGGAAGTTTTCTTTGGATAATTTCCGGCAAAGAAAGAAAGTAATAACTATTTTATATAATGATACATATGACAGAAAAAAGTAAAAACGTATCAGTTTTCAATTTCTATAATGGTTTTCTAGAAATCAACAGGGATTTTGCAATACTTACTGTGACTCCAAGGGACTCCGTGTAATTCCTCGTGTTTAAGTATGACTCACTGGGATCCTATGTGATTCTATGCAACCAGCTGGCTCCATGTGATTCCGGGTGACCGCATTTGACTCCACCTGACTGCGAGGAGTTTTAATCTGCTGTTTCCCCTTTGTAAGCAACAGCACAGCAGTTTTTTTCCAATTCTCATTTTCGATCGATGAATCATGACATGACAAATATCTCCTTTATTCAATTCGCAAGTCCAATTAAAAAATTTCTTTTGATATAACATCAAACGTGAATGAACAATCAACTATGAATTCCTTCTAGCTTACGACGATTTTCTCTTACTTCTTAGTAGCATTCGTTGGCAAAGCCTTGAAAAACTCTGAATTCAATTTAAAAAACGCGTATTCAAAAAATTGACTTCCTGCGATTAGATTCGGTTCTTTGTTAAAAATTGCATAGTGATGTTTCCGTAATAGTTCAAAGAATGCATGAATATTGTTGGGCTTGTTTGGATGGACCTCGACGAGAATCTGTTGTGGTAAAGATTTTGTAGACGATTGCATGAGAAAAGAAAAGAATGAATATTCACCACCTTCAATATCGATTTTCAGTACGTCGATTTTCCGTTGAGTATGGCCAAGTTCTTCGAGTATAGTTGCCCAACTTTTCGAGTTATTAGGATGAGTACCATTACCGAAAGTGATTTGATGAAAGATGCAAACGTTTTGCGGACAAGTGTATCGTCTTTGGTCGAATGTATGAATTTCACAATGTGGCATAACATTTTTCATATGGACTTCGAAACCAAAATCGCCATTGGAACCAGCACTATAAATCAAACAATTCGGTCGAGCTTTCAATCGATGAGGATCACACACCCATTTGCCACCATCGCCCATCTGCCCGATCCGTCTTGCATGAGAACAATGAAAATTCGGCTCCCAGTTCGAAAGAAAAAAGATGTTACTGTTACGTTTCTTCATGTTTTCTTTGTCTTGTGTTTCATAGACGGTTTTACGTTCATTCCAAACGGCATTCGATTCACAAATAAAATTATCACTTTCGATTAATGATAAACGACAATCATTAGTAAAGAAGAATGGTAATGGCGAGCATGATTTTCCGTTCCAGAAAAATAGAAGCGAGATGACGGCGAGAACTGATACAGTGATTATGGTGAATGCAGATGAACGCTCCATTGATTAAAGACGATTGATGGGCTCAAAAAATACTGAAATAAAAAACATATATTACTAGGTGAAAGAGTCCAACGAAAGTTTTGTACTTGTTGCGCAGAAGGGTTGATGGGGTAGTGCTCTTGCAAAATTCATTAGAATAAAATAATAAATTATTTCATTTTCTTATATAAAAAAGTGTTTTGCTAATACAAGATGTAACATAAATATGAAAATGTATTCACACGAATGATTTACATGCAAGAGCATTAAGAAATGCTTGATTTTTTTCTGCTTCTGTGAATAGATTTATTTTACTTAATGTTTCATGAGTTAGTTATGCGACACTGACACGTCTTTTTTTTCTATGACTCAATGGTACGATGCTGATTCGTTTCATCGTTGCCGCGAGGTTTGTATGAAAGAACTGATTCTATCTGATTATTCGATTCAGAGGGTTACCTTAAATTTGTTTTTATCTTTCTTTCGCCAATATTGATGCGAAAAGACGCATACATGCGATGAAAAAATTACTATAAAATACAACAGGACAACGCAAACAATTTGAAGATTTGTTACAACTTATCAGATTAGCAATACGATTTTTGGTGTATTCACTATGGAAATATCTGCATTGTTTAAGGAGTGCAAAGCAAAAATAGAGATTCACATACGCAAAGTATTCATCATCTATTGAAACGGATAGAAACTAGGAACATTGAGAGCGATTTAGTTATTTTGCTTTCATTACCTTTTCAACCAGTTAATTTTTTCTCCACGTTGGAATATAATGCACAAATGGATTATGTTTATTATTCAGATATAACGAAAAACGTTTTCAATATTTGCAGATGGAATCGTAATACCGATTTTGTATTTAAAAAGAATTTCATACTAAGGTATTATATTTAACATTCGCCATTAAATTTCCTCAGATTTGTAGGCAAACCTCTTGCACTAGTTTACATACAAAAACTGACTCACACCTTCTTTATTATCATGAGCAGCATAATCATATACATGTCATATAAGTTATGACTAGGGATGGCACTTTCCTTTCCTTTGAGAAAAAAAGGAAGGCTAAAAACCTTCATTTCCTATTTTCGTCTTCTAGAAGATCGAATTATGTTTCTTGTTCAGTTGCATTTAAAAAAATTAGGAGAAGTCGAAAAAAAGTCGAACGAAAGGAAAAAAGGGAAAAGAAAGTTGTATTTATTTGTTTTTCAAGCATTTTGCTGTTTTTGATAGGAAAATTCACTACAAACTTACTCTTTTAAACTGACCCGTAATAGTTCTACAGAAAAAGAATTCAGCTCATGGTAGATTCATAGGCTAATTTTAATCTTCAATGAGCATAAAACACTGGTACTAGTAAGATAACGAAAATGCAAAATTACAGTAGAGTTTTTTTCGTTTTTTTTATATCTGGTTAGATAGAGTGTGTCGGGCTGATCAATAATATATCTTTTAATCTTTTTGCTGAATGAGCTTTTAGTGGAAAATTTTCAATTTTTGGGTGACCTACGGTTTCTCATAGGAAAATTATTCGATGACTGGCGAATTTTCAATTTTTTTCATTTATTTTAAATCTAATACTGTTTGTTTTATATTCAGCATCAAAAAGAAATCTATGGTAGTCATTTATTTTATCCTGAATATAAAACAAACTGTATTAGATTTAAAACAAATGAAAAAAAATTGAAAATTCGACAGTCATCGAACAATTTCTTTCTGAGAAACCGTAGGTCATCCAAAAAATTGAAAATTTTCCACTAAAACCTGATTCGGCAAAAAGATGACAAGATACATTCTCGATCAGCTCGACACACTCTATCTGACCATATATAAAAATAGAAAACAAAATTCTACTGTAATTTTACATTTTCGGTACCTTACTAGTATCAGTGTTTTATTCTTATTAAACGTTAAAATCAGCCTATTGATCTACCTGGAAATCAATCATTTTTATTTTTTCTGTAGAACTATTACGGATCAGTTTAAAAGAGTAAGTTTGAAGAGAATTTCCCCATTAGAGGGCAAAATCCTTGAAAAACAAATAAATGCAGCTTTCTTTTTTCTTTCTTTCTACTTTCTTTTCGGCTTTTCCTAATATTTTTTAAATGGAAGTGCACAAGAAACATAACTCTATCTTCTAGAAGAAGAAGAAAAGCAATAGAAAGTTTTTCAACTTTCCTTTCCTTTCTTTTTTTGAAGTGAAAGCTGAAAGTCAGAAAGCTTTCCTTTCCGTTCCTTGTTGAAAGCAAAAGAAAGAAAACGATGACTCAAAACTAGGGGTGGCACTTTTTCTTTATTGATCTTTATATTAAAGAATAAAGATAAATAAAACCTTTATATTTATAATATAAAGATAAATGAAATCTTCCCATTTATAAAATAAAGATAAAGATAATCTTTATTTGTAAAAATAAAGTAAAAACAGAAAAAAGAAAGATTTTATGCAGTCACTGTTAAATAGATAAATAATTTGTATAACAACAGAAAACATTGACTGCAGTTCTTGCTTATCATCACTGGCATTGCAGTATGAAATAATGCTAGCAAATGCTACTGAGGCATAAATCATTTATGGAAACAAATCTAGTGTTCAAAATTTTTTTAGTCTTGAACTTCTTAATTTTCTTCGAGCTATCCGGAGAAGACCAAATTTTGGGGTTTTAAGGAAAAATATTTTTCTTTATTCTTTATTTTATCGTTATTAAATAAAGATGAAGCTTCTTTTTCTTTTTCTTTATTTTATAAAGATAAAGATTATCGTTGTCTTTACTTTATAAATATAAATATTTTATTTATCTTTATTTTTTAAAGAGTAAAGATTTCATAAATTCTTCATTCTTTATTTTATAAATATAAAGTTTTCATTTATCCTTATATTTTAATATATAAAGGTTTTATTTATCTTTAAAAAGTGAAGTAAATATAAAGTAACACCCTTAGTTATGACCCCAGAAAAAAATTTTCAATTTTCAGACAAATCACCTGAGAGAAAATTATACTCTTTTCATATCACATACATCGTATGTTTAACACAATTCAATTGAGACGAGTACAAAATTCAAGCTAACACACCAGCAGCTACCGGGAATTATTTATTTGGGATTTATTAGGATCTTTTAATAAATCCCGGTATTTATTTCTGTTTCGAGATTTATTGAGATTTATTGAGATTTATTGAGATCTATTACGATTT